AGAATTGGGCCAGATATGACAGCTCTGTTTTGCGTCTGATAGATCATGGCAGATGGAGTCAGATAATTCCTGGTGTGGTATAAGAACCATTTTCTAGCCTCTTTAGCTATGGATCGTACATACCATTTTCTTTTGATGTCTACGATGAACCTGAGACGCAACAGACGCTCAAAGCAAGGAAACACTGACAGTGGAATAAATACTTTCATCGAAATTGTTCGGATGAGTTCTTTGCTATAGGACCTAGACTTTTTGAATTTAAACGCAGTACTAGACTGGCTCATCAATTTATAGTTGAGTTGGTTAGATGTAACTCTAAGTTCTATGCTAATAGTTTCTTTTCTCGCACTTCTCATCGGTGGAACTCTCTTCTAACTTCTTACTTTAATGTTCAAAAATTTAAATGCAATGTCAATCGTTATTTTCTGCCCTCCTGATTACTTCCTCCTTTTTCTAGTTTCTTAGTAATGTTTCTTTTCTAATTCTTCAACGCCCAGTAACCCCTTGTGTTTTAGTGACTTTTCTGTCTTACCTGGGGTGAACCAGCTTTAAAAAAACAATTCATTGTGACTGTTGAGAATTTAGGGTTTTCTCGGTGACAATGAAAGCTTACTCGCTTCGATTTTTGAGGTATCAGGCTCTAGTCATCCAAATTTAGGGTGGTGTCGTATGCATAGACCCACATTCACTCACTAAGCCTGTAGAAGGTTTCAGGAACTTCCCAACGGTGCCACAGTTAACAGCCTGTCCTCCCTAGACATTATCAAGAAGTCACTTCCTTGAGAGATTATCCATGGTGATGTTCGAATCCGGATGCTTTTAACTGGAATAATAATATTCTAGCCAGTCGACTACACGTCTATATAAAACATTATTTACATTATTCGGACTATTGTCCTCATCTTTGTCGCCATATTTATTACAACATTTCGGCCATCTTCAGGTGGTTGGAATGTCGAACTGAACCCTTTATTTCGTCGACTGGGGTACACTTCTAGTTCCACGTGCCATGTTTAATGAACACCAGTTATCAGTTATCTCCTGTTATCTCTGAAAGTTCTCCACTGCTTTAACTGGGTATTGAACTCACACTCTTAATATTGAACTAACCAACGCCTTTATCCATTGTGCCATGTGTCCTTGAGGACATCGGTGTATGAATTTCTGTGTATTATAACTCTAATGTCTTCAGCAACCATTTTTACCAGTGCTCATATTGCAATTTTTGCTGCTATCATATCATGTTTTTACCAGAGCTCATATTGTTGTTATTATTGATTTTCTCTGGTACTCCTTATTACTGATTCTTTCAATTTGTCTCCAATAGTCCGAATAATGTAAATAATGTACATAATACCTCATCTCAGAAATATAGACAGATACGTCTATATATGTATACATAATTATAGCAGTATAGGTAGATGTAAGTTACATTAACACGTGTCCACTTCCAGAATTCATAGATGTCGTTTATAATGCACTTATGTATGGAATCCCTTACAGCAACTCTCATATACAGAATAATAAATGCGGACGATTATACGTGCACTGAAAACGACCACACAGACGTCGACTCAGATTGCCATTAAGCCAAATTGTTTACGTGTAATATATGTTTGAAAGATAGGTAAATGAATAAATAACAGCCTGATAATACGATTCCGTCCATTAGGATCTCCATGTTGAATTCGCATAAAGCGACAAATACTGACAATCAGTTGATTTGTTGACTGTTTTTGCTTCCGCTCTGCTTAAGCGGTCATGAAACGTTATCAAGCGTTTTATCAACGTAAACTGCTCGACCGAACAAGGAATGGATAAATTTAATAATAATAATAATTGTTATATAGAAATAAAGTGTCGCTGCCGACACTTGAATTTGAACATAGATCGCCAGTGAGCAAACACAGGTGATCCCATTATTGAATTAAGTGATCACGTGACCATAGGAGAAACGCATAAGTAGGAAGTCGCGTGACATCAAATAGATCGTTATTTCTACTCTATCCGCTATTACTATTCGGATCTCTATTTCTAGTCTATCCTCTATTACTATTCGGATCTTTATTTCTAGTCTATCCTCTATTACTATTCGGATCTCTATTTCTAGTCTATCCTCTATTACTATTCGGATCTCTATTTCTCGTCTATCCTCTATTACTATTCGGATCGTTATTTCTATTCTATCCTCCATTACTATACAGACCGCTATATCTCTACTTTATTCACCATACTATTTCTCTATTCAGATCACTATTCAGTGGTTACTATTCGAGCGAGTATTATCGAGCGAGTTCTCTTTATGCGAGTGCTATTCGAAGGCGTCTGACACCAGTATTGCTCAACGGCGTACTATAGTAAGATCTGCACTTACAAAGTCTTTACTACAATGAGCATTATGAAAATGACAACGGGTATTTCCTTGACATTACAAAAATGTCAACCGAGTGTTCGGTAACATCACAAAAATAATAATAACAATAAACTATATTTAATATCAGATTTAAAGAAAATATATACAGAGGCTTTAAGTGGGGGCGGGGATTTACCTATAAGGTACTCTTCCGCCCCAATTCATTTATTGTTTCATGACAATAAGAGGAAGTATAAAAGAAGAAGAAAAATTACAAAAAAAACAAAATAACAATAAAACAACCTTTGCGGTTAAGTTTTATTGAAAGTATTTTAAAGTGCATTATTTAAATTATTCAGACTGTTATCCTCATCATCATTGCCATATCCACAACGTTTCGGCCGTTGTACGCACCGACCTTCTTCAGATGATCTGGAATTTGGAACCGCACCCTTTATTTCGTCCACCGGGATAGGCTGTTCTATTTCCACGTGTCATGCCTCTTGCGGATGTCTCAGTTATTTCTCTTTAACTCAACTCTCAAACTATAACAATCTATCCCGGTGGTCGAAATAAAGGGTTCGATTCGAAATTCCAATCACCTGAAGAAGGCCGATGCGTACAACGGCCGAAAAATTGTGGATATGACAAGAAGAATGAAGATGAGGATAAGAGTCCGAATAATGTAAATAATGCAATTAATCATAATACCTCATCTCGGAAAAAGACAAACTTTACTAAGAACTACGAAGAACCGGAAGTTGTCGAGACCTATAATCGTCCACGCCTTGAAGCAACACGGTATATAGAAGAAGAAGAAGAAGAAGAAGAAGAAGAAGAAGATGTTGAAGGTAGTGGGGGTTTTATATTACGCTAGGTACCGGACAATATTGTAACTTTCACTTTCGTTGTATTTTCATCAGCGCTATTTTATGTTTTTTGTTTTGTTTTTTGTTTTGTTTTTTTTTTTTAATTTGTCGCATCATGTGAAGCTGTAATAATAAAAAAAGATTTATATTTTATGTGCCGTATCTAATTCATCGTGTTGCTGATCATGGCTCTCCATAACTTCCTGACCCTTGTAGCTCTAAGCAACGTTTGAATTTTTCTCTTCCATCCTTCGGCTTTCTCTGCCATCCATTCAAACAAATTCCTTCGCTAAGCAGCTTGATGTTTCATTCCATCCATCTTTCTCTGAATACGCCCTGTGGGTATTAAATTTTTCTAGCCCTCCTTCCTCATAATGTGATCCATTTAATTCTCTTATTTATTATTTCTTTATTTTTCTCTAATAGCTTTGAATGGCAGCGTTTATTCTAGGATTGAATCGTTCTGACTATGAACAATTTCAGATTTCAAAGACAACATATTTTAAGGCCTTAACACTTTAGAAATTAAATTTACTTCTGTGATAAACATTCAACTATCTATATCACTACTTTTCATGCCACTTTCTCCATCATTCTACCAAGAAATTTTAGTTCCATAGTATCTATTTGCCCCCTCCCTATTGCATTCATATCTATCACCTAATTCCTCTCTTTTATATATATATATATATATATATATATATATATATATAAAAGAAATATAGTTTTAAGGATTGATATATTTATGGGATAAAGTCCTCTATATCAGAGATAGAGCGTATGTAAATATAAAGCAAACATTGAAGTCAACACTCAGAGGCGACAGACTGTTTCATGCTAAACGCAATCATCAGGACACATGAGGAGTGCATTTAATATGAAACAGTCTGTCGCCTCTGAGTGTTGACTTCAATGTTCACTTTTACACAGTTGCAATCGTGTTTCAATGCGTATCAATGCATCTCATCAGGCGATTGTAAATTATTGGCGAGTGAACGACTTATTTAGATTTAAAGACAAAATACAACCTTTTTTTTATTGACAGCCAATCTAAGGGTCATAACTCATTTATTAAAAATTCAACGTACGCTATATTAGACAGGGTGATCTATGCAAAACCTACAAACCTTATAACCCCACCCAACGTATTTCTTTCTTTTTTCGTATAAAATACGCATCGAAACACGACTGCAAATGTTCAGCGATTTTGACATGTTTTCAGTGTAATATCCTAAAATGAATAATATTGCTCTACTTTGTATTGAGCCCTCTTTTAAGTTAAATGATACCAACTTTGCAATTGTACTCTATTCATTTTCATTGTACCTGGGTATATATATAAATATATACACCAACAGTGTTGAAAAAATGGCTATTTTTGTACTGATTTTATAACATATTTATTTTTATAATTTTCGAATGAATTATATTTGCTCTACTCTGTATTGAGCACTCTTTCAAGAATAGTATTTTTGAATATTGGAATTTATTCCGTATACAACAATCCTATATACTTATATATATATATATATATATATATATATATATATATATATATATATATATATATATATATAAATTCACAATCCTCACTCTTGCTCCGTATGCGGCCCTCTTTGTAAAGCACTAGTGAGTGTTAAGGGCCACTTAAGATTATCGCGCAAAATTTCAAAAACTGAATCAATTAAGTTGTCAGATCCTCATACGTCGAAACCGAGGGGAGAGTCTATTTTATATATATATATATATATATATATATATATAATATATTTGTATAAATGCAGCTTGACAAGACGACTCTCTCTCTCTCTCTCTCTCTCTCTCTCTCTCTCTCTCTCTCTCTCTCTCTCTCTCTCTCTCTCTCTCTGACCAGAGCACTGTACGGTATCATTTAAACATCATGAAATTGTGCCAACCTCGATAGGTAAAATACTCGTCGAGAACACCGTCTACTGGTTTCTGTTCGCTTATAAAGCACATGAGAACGACTGTCACATAAACGCACAACCTGCTCCCACCGCTGAACATTAGAGAGCGCCATTCTATCGCCTAGGTGATGCCTTTGATAGCCTAAGTGATGCCTTCGTTCGCGTACGTAATGCCTTCGTTCGCCTAAGTGATGCTTTCGTTCGCCTAAGTGATGATTTCAATCGCCTACGTGAAGCCTTCGATCGCCTAGGTGACGCTTTCGATCAACTACGTGATGCCTTCGATCGTCTACATGATTTCTTCAGTCGCCTGGGGGACGCTTTCAATCACCTACGTGATGCCTTCGGTCGCTTATGTAACGCTTTCGATCGCCTGCGTGATGCTTTCGTTCGCCTAAGTGACGCCTTCGATCACCTACTTGATACATTCATTCGCCTAAGTGATACATTCGATCGCCTACGTGATGCCTTCGATCGCCTACGTGAGGCTTTACGTCACCTACATGATGCCTTCAATCGCCTACGTGAGGCTTTACGTCATCTATATGATGCCTTCGATCGCCTACATGATGTCTTCTGTCACCTAGGTGACAATTTCAATCACCTACGTGATGCCTTCGATCGCCTACGTGATGTCATGGGTCGCCCACGTGATGCCTTCGGTCACCTAGGTGACGCTTTCGATCAACTACGTGATGACTTCGATCGCCTATGTGATGCCTTAGGTCGCTTAAGTAATGCTTTCGATCGCCTACGTGATGCTTTCGATCGCCTAGGTGATGCTTTCGATCAACTACCTGATGCCTTCGTTCGCCTAAATGATGTCATCGATCGCCTACGTGATGCCTTTGATCACCTACGCGATGCCTTCGATCACCTACATGATGCCTTCGATAGCGTACGTGATGCAGTCATTCGCCTAAATGATGCCTTCGTTCGCCTAGGTGACGCTTTCATTCACCTACGCGATGCCTTCGATCACCTACATGATGCCTTCGATCACCAACGCGATGCCTTCGATCGCCTACGTGATGCCTTCGATCGCCTTACGTGATGCCTTCGATCGCTAGGTGACGCTCTCGATCGCCAACCTGATGCCTTCTATCGCTTACGTGATGCTTTCGATCGCCTAGGTGATGCTTTCGATCACCTAGGTGATGCTTTCGATCACCTAGGTGATGCTTTCGATCGCCTACCTGATGCCTTTGTTCCCCTACGTGATTCTTTCCTTCGCCTAAGTGATGCCTTCGATCGCCTATGTGAAGCCTTCGATCGCCTATGTGAAGCCTTTGATCGCCTAAGCGATGCCTTCGGTCGCCTAGGTGATGCTTTGGATCACCTACGTGTTGCCTTCGATTGCCTAAGTGATGCCTTAGATCGCCTACGGGATGCCTTCGATTGCCTGGGTGATGGTTTAAATATGGTACAAATATTATGGTCGGGATTGGCCTGTTTTCGAAGGTAACATCTAAATGAAATTCATTACATCATGAGATCATTCTTTTTAATATGATACAGGCAAATTGTTAGCTTTTATTTAAATAACTTTACAGTATGACTTTCTATTTGATTCTGATGGTTCTTTATTAAGTGTTTATAGATATTTGTCTTGCCTGAGTATTTTAGACTTTACAAACACATAAGTCTACTGACAGCAAAAGGTTTGGGCCATAATCTCTTCACACTGATAAGTCCACAAAGAAATTCGAAAATCAGCTTTATTTGGTTTCAGCTAAGTCAGATAAGAGAGTGTCGCTCGAATAACGATAGACGATTTTTTTACATACACCCCACACCCTTACACGCATATATATATATATATATATATATATATATATATATATATATATATATATATATATATATGGAAAATGTTATACTTGTTCCAACAAGAGAAATATGTGTATTTTAAGAAAAAAGAAAGAAACTGCAAAGCTTTTTGGTTATAATGTGGATTTGTTTTAGTATATATATATTATTCTTCATATTCTATTCTATATATTTTATTCTTCATATATATATATATATATATATATATATATATATATATATATATATATATATATATAGTAGAATATATAAACAATGGCAAAATGAACAGAAACGTTTCAGGATTTCACATCTCATCGCTACCATTTGAATGAATCATTCATACCCAGAACCTCCTTGCTTACTTCCTTCAACTTCCTCTCTTTGAATAACTGCTCTTGACCACGTGATGGTTTTCTAGGCCCCCAAATAACGGGTTCCATGCGGAAAGGTTGGCTAGCCATGCCCAGCGATTGTTTGTCTGGTCTTAGTTTTAAGGTGGTTGTATCGTCCTGCATCAGCTTGTTGCCAAAGCATATCAATTGTTTTTTAATATTTCTTAGCTTAAATAATCCTCGTTCTGAGTCTGCGCGCGTGTAAGATTCAGAATTGATAGTCTTTTTACTGGACATCAATCAGATTAGTATGTCTTAGCTCGTTTCTAAACACTATAACTTGCCCTGCGGGGATGTGCTCTTTAAAAGAAACATCTTCCTGTCTAAGTATCGACACATTATTGATCTACTTTTATTTCGCAGACCCATAGTGGTGAATCCAGATCATGTCTATTTCGGAAAGTGCTATCAATGTTGTAAATCTCCAGATATTCTTAGGGAGTATTCGTGCAATTGAGTAACCTAGAGACTTCACTAAAATGCATGAATTACCATAGCTCACCTTCACCTGACAAGTATTACAATCGTGGTTTGTTTGTTTTTTTTGTCACCTGTAACAAGATATTAGCCTTAGGCTTATTCCCTGCAGCAGATGTCCTGCCACTGAAGGGCTTGTCATTAAGATCAATTCCCCCTCTCTTTCTCTCTATCTCTATCTCTCTCTGATCGCCTCTATTGACCTATCTACTTACATTCTTATGAATGCTTGCAATTTGTTCTCTTTTCAGAAACAAAAATTCTATGACGGCATTTAACTTTCTACGTATTTTCAAAGGTGGTGAAAGCAAGCATTTTGAAAAAGGATTATTAATAGGAAAAGAGAAAGTAACTCCTCTAAATTTATCTTGAACTACTACACTATTTACGGTTTTAAATGAGAGAATAGAAGTTCTGATTTAAACATTTCAAATATACATCTATACAATACTAAAAGTCTGTGATTGCGTCCGTGCTTGTGTGGGCTGTTGGTCCGAAGCATAATGATTTAAGTTAATCTGATTTATGTGAATAAAATTTAAAAATATGAGCTGTTTATACAGTATTTTCATTTTAGCTTTTTTCAAACAGCCATTTTTTTTAATTAAAATATTTTTAAGTAAGACAGACACAAAAAGATCCCGATTTGCTGTTCGTCCAGTTGTTTGTAGAGTAATTATTTATATTTTAACTTTCTTTAAACAAACAATATTTAAAAATATTTTCGACATAATATTTTCGAGTGTATATCATTTAAAAATATATTTTGGCATATTAAAAATATTTTAAAGTTAATTTGATCTAAAGTTTATACCGTAAATTCTATTCCTATTAAATGCTGTAAACAATCAGTAAAACGTTAAACATGAACTTGTAAACCAGACCAATGATAACAGGAAGGAATTGAAATATTTACATGAAATATAATAAAATTAACTTTCATTTCAATGGAACGTTCAAATCAACTTCAATGTTTTATAACCTGAACCGTCAGTACGGGTAGTCTAGTTTCAAATAAAATTGCACATATATGCACGCACTCATACATGCATGCAGGCGGTAATATTACATTTATAAACATTGAATTTAAATAGATATGAATCGGTAGTCAGCCTGGCCGACCAGCCATCGGGATGGGCACATTTAATGACGGAAATAGTAAAATACTGTAACAAGAGAAATCGAATAGGCATTTAACAATCTGGTCGTTTAATATATAGACAAATATGTCAATATTGTGCATATATATATATATATATACATATATATATACATATATATATATATATATATATATATATATATATATATATATGCTATATTTGTGGGTTAAATTGTTCAATATCAGGATAGAGCGTATGCAAAGATAAAAGTGGATATTGAAGTCAACACCTAGAGACAACAGTCTGTCACATGCTAAAGGCAATCGTCAGGCCATATATATACATATATATATATATATATATATATATATATATATATATATATATAGTGTATTAAGGAAGGAGATCATCATTCAAAGATATATTGTTAAATATAACAGACAACGAATTAAATATAACAGACAACAGTTTTAAACTTCGTATAGTTGTTTTAATTTATATATATATATATATATATATATATATATATATATATATATATATTACGACGGCAGATGGCCATAGTGCTCAATTCATTTCCAATGAAGAGCGTTCCGTTATATCTATAGATATATATGTATATTGTTATTTCTCTATATATACAAGTCTCTCTCTCTCTCTCTCTCTCTCTCTCTCTCTCTCTCTCTCTCTCTCTCTCTCTCTCTCCCCATATATATTAGTCTCTTCGTATCTATCTATAGGTTTGAGAATTTCTCTGGGTATACGTTTATTTATTTCATATTTTTTCAAAGTAGGGACGTTCAATTTTATTGCATTTGCTGGAGCGCCTCTCGTCGCCTTCTAAAATGAAAGTGTCCCGTATCCTTGTCACAGCCTCCATCATCTCCTCCTTGGCCTCAAAAACAGCAGCTCTTCAGTAGTTTCGAACATTTCATTGGTTTTGCAGCGTTTTCTGCCGCGCTTAACACAAAACTTTGTTATTTAGCGATCCTCTACGTTACCCTGACAACCCGACTGCATTGTGTAAACTAGTCAACCGTGACAATCCGCGTCGAGTAGGTAAGTGTTTAATTTAATTCTATTCGTCTGACCTTTCATCCTGGAAATAAATAATTTTCGCAGGCTAAATTAGTACAGCTACACTTAGGATGTATTAAAGTGATAATTATCGACGACAATTAAAAGGACCTGTCGCAAAGAAACGTCTAGAGTGTACCTCATATATATATATATATATATATATATATATATATATATATATATATATATATATATATATATACAAGGTGTCCATAAAGTTCGTGTGCACTTAAAAACATTTATAACTTTATTTGTATTTGCGATAGAAATAATTTTAAAAAGGTTTAGAAAGAAGTAAATCTATATTTTTTTAAGGTTTTATTGATTTTTTTATTTAAGTTTCCACATGTCCTCCATCATTAGCAATACAAAGGGTAATACGATTTTGCAGTTCACAAAAAAATTTGCCAACTGATTTACAGTAATGCATGAAATCACATTAGTTATTTTAGCTATACTTAACACTAGGTACATTAAACTTTTCAGCAAATACAAATAAAGTTATAAATTTTTTTAAAGTGCAAAATTTACATAATAGTTTTTTTTTCCTTTGTTCCATTTAATCATTATTTTTAAAAAAACTATTATGTAAATTTTTGTAATTTTCTATAATATTTATGCATTACACTCTAATCGTTATTCGGTAAAAAGGTCATTGCTAATCATTCATTACTTTTTAAGTAATACACATATTTATGTCTTTTTTGTCTCCGTTCCTTATATTATGGCCGCTACTGTATATATATATATATATATATATATATATATATATATATATATATATATATATATATGTGTGTGTGTGTGTGTGTGTGTGTGTGTGTCTGTCTGTATGTATGTATCTATTGATATGCCTGTAAGTGCAAGAAAGTGATATTTTTAGCTGCGTTCCTGTAAAAATATTCACAGAATTCTGCTAAAATGATAAAATATTGTTAAAAAATCTCGTGTCAAAATGAACCCAATAATATAACGTCTAAAAGACGCGTGGGTGTTAGAACGCAGTAAAAACATAAATTCTTTGAATGAGAGAAGCTGAAAGGAAAGGTCGGGAAAGATGTTGGAAATGAAAAAAATAATAATCATAGGAAGAGAGAAACTAACCTTAAACTCTAAAGAGAAACATTTTTTTGAAAGTCGTGAAATGCAGATGATAAAAATAAAACAGACACCAGTAATGTGCAACGAAAAACTCTTGAACCTTTTGAATTTCGCACGCTAATGTTCTTAGTAAAAAAACTTACTATATGACTTTCACTTTCACTTTCGTAGGTTGGCTAAGAATGGAAAAACAAATAAAGTTCATTGTAACTCATCAAGCTGACACGAAATTTATATTTCTGCTGAACAACTGTATACACAACATTATGTGACTACTTATTCTTCCATCTTACGGCCACACTATATTGAAACACACGTACGATCACTGAAGTTAAGCCACGTCGAAACTGGTCATTATCTAGATGTGTCGCTACTTAGGAATACCAGCTGCTGTAAGCTTAGAGGGGTGGGTGGTGTAATGGAAAATGGCTCGCAATTGCTACTCGGAGTGTCGAGTTCCCATTCCAGTTGGGTTCGTTATATTCACTTATGTTCAAATATCTTTTGGAAATGTATCACTCTACCTCTTCTCCCCCATCTATGGGTTAATTTGTAAGACTTGCATTACTAAATCATTATTATCTAAAAAAAATCTTATAAAATAAAATATATTTTCTCTCTTTAAAAATCTTGCGAAATGTTGATAAATCATTCAATCAATCTTCCATTTTATTTTCGTTTTTGTATCATGTGATTTTCCATATTATGACTTAGAGACGTAAAAAGCATCAATTTGATAAGTAAGAATATAGCAATATGATTAATATGAATTTCGAATGCTAATAGGTCTTCGTGATCAAATCCTTAAGACGTCATTTATGTAAGATGGGCTCCCAAAGATTTGTGTTCAAATATCATTAGAGGCCGTCTTTTTATTTCCAATTAATTAACGGTTGTAGAATTTAAAAACGACCTGACGATAAAAGCATGTTTATTAAAAGAAAACAAAATATGAATTAAAATGGATAATAGAAATATTTCATTTCAGGAATTCAAGCAATCTAAGATCTATTTAAACGGGTTATTTGGTTTCCGGTCCCTGTATTAAACTATAAGCCCCTTCAAAACAAATTTTATTAACTTATTGTGCAAATTAATTGAAACAACTGCTTTACTTTCCTTTCTTGCACCATACGATCAGTTTTAGACCCAATGGAGTGACAGAGTGTAATCGATTCCTATTTTTCCTCAGATTAGGTCATTTGCAGTGGTGTTCAGTAATATGAGTCTATTTTCGGAGTGTATGATGAATTTTGAGGAGCCTTTAAAAATATTGCCTTAGATTTTCATCACGCCCGAACATTTTTGTTTCGACTATCGATTAGTTGCCCTACAGCCATTCTCTGCGATGGACGTTACTCCAAAGAAAAGTACGAAAATTGTAATACTGCACGAACGTACTGGCAAGCCTTACAAGTGAGCAAATCAATGTACTCCTGATTTAAATCCAGTCGAGAATCTATGGTTAGTCTTCAAGGAATGACTTTGTTGAATGGACGTACGAAGTACTAACGCGTGTACTGGGTCATGTTTCATTGGAAAAATACGAGAAAAATTAAATAATAACGGAATTATTCGTTTTGTTTCAATTAATTTGCACAAGGGTGTATAATCGAAAAGACTTTTTGTACTAAACGTACTCGAAAACGAGGTTCGAGAGCCACTCAAGTTAGAGAGTTACTACTGAAATAATAATGATGAATGAAGTGTGTGATATGCGTGAAACAAGGGGAAATTGAATAATATGAAGTAGGATAATGCTCATTGAAGCACTCACGCGGGAGTCTAATCCAAAAAGTGGAAGCTATCTGGAACACGAAGGAAATGAGGCTGATTCTGGATTCTCTCTCAGTGGATCACGACTCTCTCTAACTTCCTCTTACTTAATTTCTGAGAATTGCTACGATTACTTGGGAAATATAGTGAACTGTTTTTTTCATTACCTTCTCCAAGGTCGTTCTTCTGGACTGGCTGCCACCCAAAGCTAGAAAGCCTAGTTTACACTTCTATTTAATCCATAACTATGTGGATATGACGCATATTAAAGGTTGCAAATTTCTAACATTCTCATGTTTGGTGGAAGATCGGTCAAGATTAGAACGGATGAAAAAAAATTATATAAAGATCGCCAAGATAAAATGAAATGTATTGATTTTAATTAATAAGAGCCATAAATTAGTTATATAATTATTTGCAGTGAATATATCACTTGAAGCTATTCAGAAATCGTCTGCGAAGAAGGCGTCTTGAGGAAATAGGATTTTCTCTCGACTCAAATGATGGTCATTTATTGTACACAGTTCAGTTCAGCAAATCTAAATCAAATACGAAGACATAAAGAGTGCGATTGATAAATTTTCGTCGAAATAACGCAAATGAAAATAATATTGACATCTCATTTTAACAGATATATTTACCAACATTAAACAAAAATATCTTGAAATATTAAAGAATAAATTTATTCAATAAAATCGCTAATAGCTTAAACCATTGAATCTGTCTATATTACTGAGATGAGGTATTATGTACACTATTTACATTATTCGGACTATTGTCCTCATCTTTGTCGCCATATTTATTACAACGTTTCGGCCTTTCAGTATCTGTCTATATTACTGAGATGAGGTATTATGTACACTATTTACATTATTCGGACTATTGTCTTCATCTTTGTCGACATATTTATTACGAAGTTTTGGCCTTTCAGTATCTGTCTATATTTCTGAGATGAGGTATTATGTACACTATTTACATTATTCGGACTATTGTCTTCATCTTTGTCGACATATTTATTACAAAGTTTCGGCCTTTCAGTGTCTGTCTATATTTCTGAGATGAGGTATTATGTACACTATTTACATTATTCGGACTATTGTCCTCATCTTTGTTGCAATATTAATTACAACGCTTCAACCACGTCCGCCATCTCCTGCCTCTCTTCAGGGTGGCCACGTTGTTTAAGTTGGTGAATGTTGCTATAATCCCTGCCTTCAGTTCATCTATGGTGTTACAAGTTTTGTTGGACTCTCGCTCATCTGCGGCCTACATATAATAATCAAGGGGTTTTTTGTCCGGTTAGTTAGGTGGTCAGATATAAGGTGTGATGTAGTCGCAGAAATTGCCTGACATCCATGACTTTGTTCTCCTGCTTGTGTGGCATGGTGAAGAATCCTGTTACCAGATATAGGGTCTTCTAGCAACCACTCTCTTGACCCAGGGCAGCATTATCTCCTGAAGGTACAATGTAGGCATCCGTGTTGAGTCTGAGGCCTTCACCACCAAAATCGGGAGTTCTTTAGATTGACACCCAAACTTCCTAAAAAGTTAGTATGGAGCTTCCGGCGCGAATGCCAAGCAGTACAGCATGCTGTTTTCAAATTTCTGGTGGGCTGAATTACGTCATCGTGCTCTTTTTCTCACAGACGGTGCTCAATTGACACAACTATAATGTGCCGTCGACAAAATCAAAAACGAACAACGCACATGTGCGAAATTAAAATTATGAAATAGCGACAATTTATCCATCGCACCCTGTACTGTATTACCAAAAAATAATTATTTATATAATTTATATTTTACACATATATCTTTCATTTCTGAATGAACTAAAACAAATTTAATGATATCATTTGGAGTATTTTCTTTTGAATTTCTGGAATGAGGAGATATCATTATTTACAATCAGACTAATGTCTTCATCTTTGTTTCAGCCGTTATTTCAGCCGTTGTATTCTCCAGTCTTCATCGGGTGTCTGTCGACTTGTATGACTTTAAATTAACTTAGATCTGAATCCTTTATTTACTCTACGACTGTTTATTCTTATAGTTCAGCTTGGGATACCTCGTCTTGTTCTTTATATGTTATTGCTCACACTGTTTCCACTTAAGTACACGGCCTAGGGATTGAACTCACAATTACTATCATCAAATTCACGAAGTAGCGCTTTAATCCACTAGGGTAAATTCCTCTGTAGAGCTCAGTTAGAAATTCACTGTAGGTTCCTTGGGTCGGCAAACTCCTGAAGAAGACCAGCGGGCACAACGAGCGAAACCTTGTGATAATCCCAAAGATAAGACATTAGTCTGAATTTTTAATAATGTAAAGATATTCTTCTCGCTCTGATCTCCATGTCTAGGGATATCGTTTATATATTTCTTTCGTTATTACTGCTTGATTGCTGTTAGTTCTGACTCTGTACTACCCGACCCAGAGATTGAACTCACAATTGCACAATTATTCCTAATACTTCTCTTGTCATAAGGGAATAACAGAATAAGTTCTCTGATGATTCAGAACTCAGTATGAGTTCATTATTCACCAAACTGAATTCAATAAATGAACATATATTTTATCAAGGGCCTTAGCGTGTTGTCAACTTCTTAGGTAACAGCGTTATTTCTTTTATAGATTAAAAAGAAGTTGATTTTTCTTTGATAGACTGTACGTAATGAGATTCTTTGCTCGTTATTCAGACCTTGATATTGTTCGCTTTCTCCTGTTTGTATCCGTGTCACTCTTTTTTGTCCATTTTCTCTCTCGAAGACAGCTGATTCCGGATTGATTTTATTGATTGATTAATTGATTGGTTTCTTTCTTTACGGCTTATCAACCCATTGCGTGTTATTTAAAGCCAAAACATATTACTTCCTGGGTATGACGATAAACTACATCCGCATCATGGGTAAGACGATAAACTATGTCCAACAGCAAGGCTTCTGATCAGGGGGTTTTGAGGAGTATGGAACCACCTCTTGATTGCTGGTGTTTCCAAGTCCACCCTGACCCGGAGTGGTGGCACCATTTTTAAAGTCCCAGCAATGGGCAAATAGTTACACCGAACTGAAGTCAAAGCGCTATGAAAGTGTAAAAATAGGTTTTAGTACCAGCAATACACATTTGTAAAAATATTAGCAGCAATGAATCTTTGAAGAAAAAATTATTGTTAGCAATACTTTTTTGAAAAAAAAAATTACCAGCAATACATTTATTGGGAAAAAATATTGCCAGCAATAAAAATCTTGTCGGCATTAAATAACCCATTGAGGTTGATATGACGTAAAACAAAATAAACCAAACCAATCTAAATCAAAGAATACATATTCTATTCATACGAATCTATCCTAAAATGTTGTCGGCATTAAATAACCCATTGAGATTGATATGCCGTAAAACAAAATAAACCAAAGCAACCAAAACATATTCTGTGATTGTATATATAATTCCTTTATTTGCCAGTGAATAGTGAAATAACAATATTTGAGAATTACAATGATGATTCCAGATACAAGTTGTACTATTTAATTCAGAACTGGAGGAAAGAGATAGTGTCATATATTTCCCTAGGGTATTTGTCTGGAAATGAATTCAATGAACTCGACTGGAATTCGAACACAGCTCTTCGATTTCTAATTCCAAGCTGCTAAACATTGAACCCCCTGCACATCCACTGATTCTAAAAATTGTCGTGATATCACACTGCACACTCAGTTGTAAAAATCAAAGCACAAAATCTTGTATACGGTTTCAATTCTTATTTTTTTACTTTTCGTCTTTGTTCTTTTATTTTTCTTTGTCAAATATAATTGCAAAGACATTTTCAGTTCTACAAATCCGTAGACAGTTAGGGTTAGGTCTTTATTTCACAATGACGGAAATATCGATATAATCCATTTAACATTCTTTGACTAAAATGGGCAGAAAATGGCTCCTTTGAATCCTCGATTCGTCAACTGTTAATTTGAATAGAAATCTCTGCTACAATTCAGCCCGAATGATTAGAATGGCAACGGCATAACGCCATAGATATGGGTTCTGTTAATATCAGACGTATTAATCAACTCTTGACAGCTTCACAAAGCCAACAGAGGGGAGGCATTTCGGTTGACGAAATTCCATCCGCGTTTATCTCCGACAAGCCATCACGAATGGATGATGAATCTGATTTTGTGTTATCTTTGAACTAGTTTCTATCGTTTAATAAAGTCCATAAATTTTGACATCCTAATCTTGACAAGAATATTCTATTGTTCCGAAGTTCTAATACTTGGAATATGGATGCCTAGTATATCGACATGTTGGATTTGTTAAACCAAATTCTCTTTTCTTCACATATAGCTATTATCCATTTATTCACATCTCCCCCTCTCTCTCTCTCTCTCTTCTCTCTCCTCTCTCCCCCCCTCGCCCCCCTCTCTCTCTCTCTCTCTCTCTCTCTTCTCTAAGTTATTTATTTAACCCAGATAAAACTGCTTTCCTTCTGTTAGTTTTCAAACTTTCCATCTTCTCTAAATTGAGTAATGAGGATTTCTATCGTATTACAACAGTTGTTTCCAAACTTTTTTTTCCCTGGGTCGCATTTTCCGAATTAAATTTTGCGAACGCCTCACCAAATTTTATGTGATAAAACGTATATTCAAAAACAATAAAGCAAAACAAAGGGAGGGTTAAAGGGAGATAAACGCGGATTTTAAGTCAGAACATTATCATTGATAACCCCCTCCTCTAACTTGCGGACACTAATTACTATATTCTTAATACATGATATAATGCAAAAGTATCATAATGATAAAATCGGTCAATAAGTATTTATAACTATATATACTGAGACTCATACATGCAATTAGAAGTAATCAATAATAATATTTTCAATTTTGAAATCATATTTATTTTTGGTATATAAATTTCTTGAAATTGTTTCTAAATCTTTCATTGACTTTCAATCATTCCACCTCACCTGCTATCCTCATCCGCCTCACCTGCTATCCTCTTCGGTCTCACCTGCTCTCCTCTTCCGTCTCAACTGCTATTCTCTTCCGCTTCACCTGCTATCCTCTTCCGCCTCATCTACTTTCCTCTTCCGCTTCACCTGCTATGCTCTTCCGTCACACCTGCTATATCCTTCCGCCTCACCTGCTATCCTCTTCCGCCTCACCTGCTATATCCTTCCGCCTCCCCTGCTATCCTCTTCCGCCTCACCTGCTATAGCCTTCCGCCTCACCTGCTATCCTCTTTCGCCTCATGTGGTATCCTCTTCCGCCTCACCTGCTATCCTCTTCCGCTTCACCTGCTATCCTCTTCCGCCTCACCTGCTATCCTCTTCCGCCTCACCTGCTATCCTCTTCCGCCTCACCTGCTATCCTCTACCGTCGCACCTGGTATCCTCTTCCACCTCACCTGCTATCCTCCCCCGCCTCACCTGCTATCCTCTTCCGCCTCACCTGCTATCCTCTTCCGCCGTCACACCTACGTGGCGTGCCGCACCGTTTGGGAATCACTGTATTACAATGTCATCCATTGGATTCTTTTTTTTTCTTTTTTAGAAGATCATTACTTTCTGTCCCGTAGTGAGAATATCTATTACAAATAATGTATACATATATCCCTATTAATCCTAATCGCTATTACGATTTGTCATGTGGAGAATAGAGACGTAGCCTCACCACACTAGGTATTACAACTCTGGTTTCTGTAACGAGTAAGTTCTCGCTGAGTGGAGTTGGTATACCGACGCCCAACCCGGATTTGAATTGGGAATTTACCGTCTAGAGGGGATAACAGTCAAGTCTAGAAGATCAAGGTTGCTCTTCTATTTAAATCGTAGCTGGTGGTCGAAAAGATGAATTCGTTTCTTTCTCAAGCAAGTGAATGTCAATTAAAGAGAACGCAATGACATCGACAGGAATTTGAATCTGGCGTGACGGTTCCACTTGCCGCGTCGATCAACTTTCGCTACGCACACATCCATATAGGTTTATATAAAATCACACATATTTCTGTTAGAATTAAATGATATTAGGATGTACTATGTGTAATAATATAATGGCTGGTTGCTTGTTTCTAAACATATGTGTTTTGGTTAATCCCTATTGCAGACGACTGTTCAGACACATTTGTTTTTGTTCAATACCCATCGTTTATACTGCAGCTACACTAAGTTGATCTTAGTTATACTTTCAAAATCTGGCATGATCAATAGTTTGAACAACGCCAAAGCAACACTCAAACCCTCGGTCACGGTGACTTGTGACTTCCTGCTAGCCAATTTTACTTACATGGCCGGGCTGACATTTTCAAAGTTAACTTTCTGACCAGTCGACCATGGTAAGATTCAATCTCGAGTCGGGTGGTCGAAACATTAACGTCTATGGTGGGATGTATTCTTAGCGCTTTAAAATGCTAAAAAGTAAAAAACTGAAATATCGCCGAAAATCAAGATTGAAGCTTTAAAATAACTTGTAAGGATGATTTTACAGATAGAGAAAAAAAAAAGTGTATCAGCTTCAGATCGTGCTAAAGTAAAAATAAAAACGCTAAAAATTGCAAAAAAACTTCAGCAGATGCTATCGAACTTTGAGGACGTTTGATAACAATCCTGGACGACAGGTTTCTTAAGAGCAAGATGAAGCTATTTTCTTAAGAGCAAAATGAAGCTATTTTCTCACCGCGTTGTCATTCTTTCAATAAAGAATTTTATCTTTTCACCTGATGGAATTTCTAGGTTTCGAAGCTGCAAGGAACTAAAGAAAAGCCTAAGATATCAGGCCCTAAAACAAGTAAAAAAATATGTGAAAGCGATCGTTAAAACTTCATTATCTGAGGAACATCGAATGAAATGTGCAATAATATACAAAAACTTTTATTTTTCCGCCCCGTTTTTTCACCATCAAATATCTTGTTACCGTTGAGGGGCCAAAAAAAAAAGTAAGCAAATTCTTGGCAGGTCCTGACGGAAATTTCCCTCCCCGTCAAGAATAGGCTGTGATGGGGTGGTATTTGGGGGTAAGAATAAAGGTGATAGCGAGTTCCAGACAGTGTTACGATGACAAATAAGCCATTGGTGTTTTGAAGGAAGATTTCAGTCCATGTTTCGAGGAAGAAAACAAAACCCTTCAGAAAGACACTTATTTGATAAAATGGCCAGCTTGTTTGACTGATTTTAATCTGACTGAAAATTTGTGGAGCATTCTGAAGAGGAACATTTATATTGAGGGATTTACTAGCAGAGATGAATTTTAAAATGCTATTTTGGATGTTTTACAGTCTATTTCATATAAGAAATTCAATAGCTTAGAAAATCAAGGGATGAACGACTTACAAAGATAGTTTCCGAATATGAAGCAGGCTGCATTTGAAAAAAAAAAAAAAAAAGAAAAAAGAAAAAAAGAAAAAGAAAAAGTTTTGATTAATATCATCCTAGCATATTTTAGAAAGATTATAATTTCAATGTATGTGTATAGAGTGCAAATGACATCAAGTGTAGAACTGTTTAAAGGATATACATTCTTAATTTATTTTTTTAATTTAGGGGTTCACATATCTTACACTGCCTAAGGGCCAAGATGATGCTAACATTTTAAATCGCTTTTATAATGTATTCTCCCAATGATGAAAAATATTCTCTTTAATCCGATTTTTTTTTATTTTGTATGATAATACATTCAAGTATTTTGTATCTTTCTTTACAATTAGTGCTAGACTTTACTGTTACCTACTAATATTTGTATACTATTAATAATCATGCTGTTGTCTTTCGTGATGTGCCGATCAACGTGAGTATAAATTAATAAATTATGTTTCTGTAAGTAGTATGATGACACTTTCACATAATATTCAAAATTACAGTGAGTAGAGATTGATAATATGACTTTTAAAACTAGTTTCATAACATACAGCATACATTTCTGATTAATTTATCGTCATTACAATAAATGTATTTTTAAAATTTTGTTGAAAATATTTTTCTTTGTAAACTTTGCACACATTGTAATTATAATTTTTAATTACAATAAAACCTTTCTTGGCGTTTGAATAAACTGACGAATAAATAACAATTTTGAAAATGTTAACAGACTGTAAAGGTGGCATGTAGTCTTCGAGAAAATATGTACATTATATGAAATCCATTCTGTATATTAATGGAGCAACTATTCCCATGAATTGAGCCATTACTCTTCTAAAATAAATAAGGGAAATAAAAGTGTCTAGTAATGTGATAAACTTTTAAATAATAACCTGATCTTCTTCGACCTCTTTTTCAATTTATTGACATATTTTCTTTTAGGAATGATAAAATGTTCCACGCCTAAGTGATCCTGAAGTTTAAATGAAATATTCAAAGATATATTAAATAATATATATATATATATATATATATATATATATATATATATATATATATATATATATATATATATATATATATATATATATATATATTATGGATTTCAAAAGCGAGAATGGAAACAACGCTGATTAGACTGTGTAGCTTCAGAAGGTGGCTACTTTGAAGGAGATTAAATGTCGAATGGATATGTGTTGTAGTTTTCTTTTTATAATACCAGTCCCGATATTTTTTGATAAGACCTCTTATAATGAATATAGAAAATAAACATGCAAATACAAAAATACACCTTCTCAAATAAATATTTTAAAATCCTCTGAATTAGCTGCTAAGAGAAACGGAAACATTTCTAACATTTGAAGAGTGCTTTTATTGAAATTAGTTCCGTCGTCTCTGGTAACCAATTTTTCGTGTTTTCCTTCTTTTTTTTCTTTTTTGCTTTTGGGTATTTATTGCAGTATATCTAAGAGAACTGATACCACTCCATAAAAGCCACACTCTCAATGTCTGTATCAATCAAAGCCTTCCATAAAGTTTTCATTTTAAGTATACTGCAGTACATTCGAAGAGAATGGAAACGGCAGCTGAAATAATTGATCTTATCGATAATACCAAACTCAGGATCAAATTCCTCACTTGCGAAATCCAGCAACAAAATTCTTCTGTGATGTTCATATACACACGTAAATAAATAAATAATAAAATATATATACATTAAACATATTCATTGGCATAAGTTTTATTTAAAAATATGTAGCAAAATTTAGAGGTTATTTTCCTTTAGATTTGTAGTAATGTGGCCCTAGAGTTATCACATGATGTATAAACAGTACCGAATTTAATAAAAACACTTTCTTGCTTCATTCCTTATGGACCAGAACAACGACGGATATGGCGTGACTGAGAGTTATGATGGGATTTCATTTCTGCGATTTGATTTCTACTTTTGTCACAAATACTCTCTCAAAACATTGAAATATTTTGAAGCCAGTTGACAATAAGAAATTGTTTCTATGTCTACGTGTTGTTTTTTCAAGTTATCTTATTTTGTTTTGCGGCATATCAACTTCAATGGGTTATTTAATGCCGACAAGATTTTTATTGATGGTAATTTTTTTCCAAAAATGTCCTGCTGGTCATAATTCTTTTTCTTCGAAATTCGGTAATAATTTTTCACAAAAATGCATTGCTGACACTAAAACCTATTTTTACACTTTCATAGTATTTTGAACCCAGTTTGGAGTTAACTATTTGCCCATAGCTGGAACCCTAACAGGTGCTACCACCACGGGTTGGAGTGTATCTGGGAACACCAGCAATTAAGAGATGGTTTCACTCCCCTCAAAATCCCTTAACCAGAGACCTTGTTGTTGTTTGTAGTTTATCGTCTTACCTGACGAAGATATAGTTTATCGTCTTACCCAGGATGGAATTTTTTTCGTGTTTTTTTTAACATGTTTACGACGCATTCCTTAACTAAAATAATCGTAATCATTAAGCATTTTCACGTTAATATTAGATTCCCCAGAATTGTTTATATTCTTATTTGTTATTTGTGTTTAACCCTAAAACACTAACCATCAATTAAAGTTACACCACTACTAATCATGGGTATATCATACCCGATTTTGAAAATATCAAAAAAATATTAAATATAAATCTTTATTTGAAATATTTTACGTGCAGGCACTTCAAACTTTGTACTTTAAGTTAACATTAATAGGAACTGAAAAACATTATTTAGGTAAGAAAATAAGGTACTGAAAATTGTAATTAAAAATAGGAAAATTTACGCTGGGTACTATATACACATGGTTAATGTTCTAGGGTTAAATGAGTGCATGTTTGTGTGAGTTTTATGTTGTTATTAGTTTTTTTTCTTTTGTTGCCGGCTGCATACGCATTTCCTTCCGTTTCCTGACCAAGGACCTAAGGTCAGAAATGGCTTCATGTCATTTTTCACTGATCATTTTGGTAAAAAAAAAGAAACCCAAAAGGCTAAGATCACACACATAAATAAATCTCTTTATTGTGAGTTGTACTTATGAGTAAATGGGATACCAGGAACTCATTCAATGAGAAAGTTTTTTCTATCAATCTAAGGCTTTGAACTACAACTGAAATTATTGATGCCCTCATGTACCATCTTTTGAGATTTCCACTTCAAGGTCCTTGTATTTTGATAGTTTTTTGGAGATCTTCAAAGATATGTTACCATCTTTAGAGACTGCTATGTCAATAAAAAA